GACTCCCTTGCCTCTGGCCGTGGCTTCCGCTAGGGTGTAGGTTTCTCTGCCCGTGAGTCTCCAGCTGCCAGGCAGCCCCTGCAATCCCCCCCTCCCCCCCGGTGGACCTTCCTAGAGCTCCCCTAGAGTGCAGGGTTCCTTCACCCCACTACAACAAGGCATCCATTAGATGGTCACATAAGAGTAACCAAATATCTTAAAAATCACAAGGAGTTACGACAACAGTTATGCCTTTAGATAAAACAGCTACAAAGGTACAGCTGTGGTTATGGCATGAAAGGGTCCCAGCCCATGTCCCCTTTAATTTTTTCCATCCATGTGCAGAATAAATTTTGTTCTACACCCTGGGGATTGTGTGGATGTGCACCACCCGTAGCCACACCTGCTGCCAGCTGTGGGTGCCCTGCTATTGTGAATGGCTCATAGGCAGCCAGCCCAGTGCTCAGTTTTCAGGGAACACTGGACCAAGCTGTGCAAGTCACCACAACCCCCGTGCACTGCAAGAGAACCAACAGCTTCTGCCTCGAGCACAGCAGCAGGGGCCGCTGCTTACAGCAGATTTGGTTGCTTTGTTCCTCTTAAGGAACAGTCCTGCCCTGTGCCTCAGTTTCCCCCAACCACCTTCATGAGATAGTAACGATGGCCCCGCCCCTCATTGAATGCTCTGGCAGCCACGGCTGAGCACTATGGAATGTTATCACTACGGCAAGTGGCCCTCGGGAGGCGCTCACTCTCCTCCTGGAAGATTTCTGTGTATTGACGTGAACTCAGTGCCAGGCTGAAGTTCGGTTCTGTGCACCCCTTACTGTATGGCTTTGACAGCCCAGGGTGGCTGAGAAGTGAGGCAGGAAGTATCCTACGCACACACAGCGTTCATAACGCCAGGGGAAGGTGCGCTGTGTTACTTGTGGGGCACAAAACCTAAATATTCCTGTAGAGCTGGAAGGTACAAGGAAGGGCACAATCCAAAAAATAGGGGAAGAGAGAGGCTGGGGGGGGGGGGGGAGAGAGAAGAGAGGGGAAAAAAGAAAAACATCCTAAAATATAATCCTGTAATTAAATTACAAATTAGAAAGTTGTAAAAGCTTGCTACAAAAATACAGCGGAGTAAGAGACGTTCTCCTTGGCCAGGATAAAGTGACATCCATTTCTTCCTCTGAGCAGTTGGATTTTTGTTTAAAATTCCCCCTAAAAATATCCCTGAAACACAGATGTGTAAAAGTCACCCCAGGGCTTGGAGCACCAATTTAGCTTTAAAATGTACATCCAGGCATTCACCAGACAAGTATTTACAAACCTTTTACAAATGTACAAACCCAAGGGAATACACCAGAGCTAGGAATTTACAGTGTAAAAAATCCAAAGCCTGTGGCTGCTGGAAGGAAAATACAAAACCGCAGGTGTCCTTTGGCAGGGGCTGCAGTCTCCTTTGGAATCCCAGGGCTGATCGCTGGCACAGCCCGCACGGAGCAATTTAACAAACCCCGCAGCCATGGCCCGCGACGCCGGTGTCCTCTCTGCTGAGACACCAGTGGCGATTATGTTCAAGCAACTTTCTCTGCCCAGGCCCAGGATCTTGGTCCATTCTTCCAAAGGAATGAATTGGGGATCTCGGCTGCTGCTCCAGGAACAGGCGACAGCACCTGAACCAATGCTACCCGCTTCATTTATACCACAGGCATCAAGCTGGGTTTTTCAGAGGGACGCTCATACCACGGCGGCCCGATTCACGTGGTGCTAAAGGCAGCGTCTCACCGACCGTAACAAACATTCGGATCAGCGTGAACAAGTGCCAGTGAAAAACTCCTGGGCTGGTTTTCCCCCCTCCTCCTGCCGCCTCTGCAACCC